TCTATCGTTTTCGTTTATTGATAAAGGAGAAGAGTAACCCTAAGATCTTAACATTGTATCAGAGTTGAATTTTCTGCAGAAGGAAATGTAGAGAAAACCTTAACTAGCAATAGGAGTGAGGAATCGACTAGGTTTAACACAAACCAGAAGCTGAAGAAATGCCTTCTGGTGTGTTACATATACAAGAGGTTCTTACAACAGTGAAATAATAAATTAGTTTTGCAGGTGATTGTTTTTTTTCCAATTGAAGTCTCAGGGGGGGAGTACTAGTTCCATTCTTATAATCATTCCATAAAGATGAAACAGAAAGCTTTTTTTCCATTTCCCTTTCTCCTCAGAGACTTTTAAATTAACCGTTTTTCGCCTTCTTCCTCCTTCCTCCATTTCTCTGTTTCTTCTTCCTCCTCCTCTTCCTTATCTTGCTTCTCCACTTTCAATCTCTGCACTCCCTCCTCCCCCCCTTTTTCTTCTTCCTCCTTCTTCCGGTTTCTATTTTCTTTTCTTCCTTAAACTCCTTCGACTGTATCTTCCACCTCCTCTTTCTCTTCCTTCGTCTCTTCTTTCTCCTTTTCCATCTCTCCTTCTCCTTCTGTACCTCCACAATCACCACATCCACATCCTCTTCCTCTCCACATCAACACCACCATCATCATCATCTTTATCATCATTCCTCCTTCCTTCCTCCTCCTAATCAACCTCACCCAACCCCAATCTTCACATTTCTCTCATTTACTTCCTTCTCACATTTTCCCCTCCCAGCCTGAATACCCTCATCCTCATCTTTTCTCTCTATGCCTCCTTTCCCTCTCCGCATAGCCATATCCTGCAACAATTCCTGCAATGAGCGTCTTGCAACTGCCTACATCGAGTTCTGTGGTGGCTGCAACTCGTCGAGGTCCGTGTCGGGTCTACAGATGGTGAACTCCTGATGTATAAGACTTTCTCTCTTTTCTCCTGTAGGCGGGCGGTTTCTCTTGAAGAAGCCGGCCTGTGGAGAGTAAGTTAGGGAGAATAACATGGAAAAAATAATTTGGGAGATGGAATAAGGGATTAAGAATTAGGAGAAGGAATAAGTAAGTATGAATAGGGAGTGAGGGAGAACTGAAATATATCTGGGGATTTATGTAGGTGGGCGGTTTCTCTTGAAGAAGCTGGCCTGTGGAGAGTAAGTTAGGGAGAATAACATGGAAATAATAATTTGGGAGATGGAATAAGGGATTAAGAATTAGGAGAAGGAATAAGTATGAATAGGGAGTAAGGAAGAACTAAAATCTGTCTGGGGATTTATTCAATAACTGGAGATGGAATAAGGGATTAAGAACTAAGAGAAGGAAGAAGGAAGTATGAATAGGGAGTGAGGGAGAAGTGAAATCTATCAAAGGATTTATGCAGTAAAGTGATACGAGTGGAGAGGGAATAAGTAAGAATAAGGAGAAGGAATTGGTAATAAATAAGAAAAAAGAGTAAGACTTGGGAGAGGGAAAGAGTATATAAGAACAAGGAGAAAAGGAAGAGGGAGAAAGCAAGAAAACGAGGAAAATAAAAGTGGGAATAAACAAATAAGCAATAAATTTAGTTTATATTTTATTCATGTACTCGAACGTTCCCACTCAGCGAATATAAACATATTTACTGCGTACATACTTCAACTATTTCCACATAAAATAAAATAGAAATGCCATCAATAAAAGAGCTTCTACTCACCCTGTATAGACCGGCGATAATAAGCAAGATGATGAGTAAAGCAAAGAAAATCGCCAGCAGGAGAATCCACAGCGGAACGGCATCAAAACCCACACTCTGGACGAAAAAGGGTTCGAATGCTATTATTAGTATCATTATGATTATAATCATCATCATTACTGTTATCATTATTATTATCATTATTATTATTGTTAACCTCATCATTAGTATTATAATTATCCTCATATAATCATTATTATTATAATTATTATTATTTTAAATCAATAATCAATTAATTTCATCAATTAATTTTAATAACTCTTTTAAATTAATGATTAATTAATTGAATTAATTATTTTCTAATAATTACCACCAATATTAATAAATACAATTATTACTGTTATCATCATTCTCATCATAATCATCTGCCGGACACAGCAAACATCGAGAAAAACAAGAAAATAGATAACTGAATAAGAAAAATAGATCAGTAAATAAAGAAAGAAATAGAGAAAAAAACATGTCCATAAAAGAATAAAAAATGAATGAATAATCAATAAGGAATTAATTAACAATAAATAGATATAAAAAAAACAATATAACAGATAATCAAATAAACAATGAACCAATCATCAAATAAGCAATAAATACATAAAGCAATGAACAACAAACAAATAACTCAATAAACGATAGATAAATAATTCAACGAACAATAACAAAGATAACGAAATACACAAAAAAAATAAACAAACAAATAGACAAAAACATAACAAAATAAATAAAAAATAAAACAAATAAATTTATAAAATCTATAAATAAAAAAATAAAAAAAATAAAAAAGAAAAAAAAATTATAAAATTTATAAATAAAATAAAATTTAAACAAAATAAAAAAGAAAAAAAAACATCTACTCATCAGTCACCCTTGATATCTTACCTGGGGACTGATAAGTGTCACGTAAGTTTCTGCGGCAGAAATGGGGTTGATAAGCGTGTGGTTCTTCTGGGTGACATTCACACGAACCGCAGACAGTAGCTTAAACTTGCGATATCCAAGCTGTTTGGAAGGACAGTGTAACGTTACAATCAATCGTGCAGGTGCAACACTAGGTAATACACACTAGGATTTGTGTGTATTACCGTGATGTATTTGAGTATATTTCATAAAACGCGATGTATAAGCTGTTTACAATAAGGAGAGTCCAACATTACAGGCGTGTAGATGTAAAACTCTAGGAATAGTTTATATTACCGTGATGTATTTGAGTATATTTCATAAAACGCAATATAGAAGCTGTTTGCAATAAGGAATAGTGTCCATTATCGTGATGTATTTGAGTATATTTCATAAAACGCGATATACAAGCTGTTTGCAACAAGGACAGTCCAATGTTAAAATCGTGTAGATGTAAAACTCTAGGAATAGTGAGTATTATCGTGATGTATTTGAGTATATTTCATAAAACGCGATATACAAGCTGTTTATTATAAGGACAGTCCAACGTTAAAATCGTGTAGATGTAAAACTCTAAGAATAGTGTGTATTATCGTGATGTATTTGAGTATATTTCATAAAACAGGGACATTCACCGAAAAGGATTATATTAATACAGCTGGAAGAAAAACCCACAATGCACAAACTAGATGTATTGAGTCTCACTTTCCTCAATAAATCTAGTTTGTGCATTGTGGGTTTTTTTCTTCCATATTATCAACACGGTATTGTGTTTTTCATTGCATTAATACAGCTGTAAAACCTGACGTGACTCCATGAATATATATTGCTGTGATGAATTCGAATACATATCATAAAATAGAAACATTTCAATTTTTCCAAAAAAGAAGAGAATGGTATTTACTATGACTGACTGATGACCTATGTAAACCCTTTTGACACCATCACGTACCAGATCAAGTTCTCTTATGACTACGTAACTTGGTATGACAATTCTGACTTTCTCTTCGGCCGGGAGCCAGGGGATGTTACACCTGGAAAAGAATCATGAGGCTGATAGTAACAGCACATGGTTTTATTATCATATCATTATATTATATTTGGGTTATAGTTGTTTTTTGGAGTCTTAGTCTCTCTGTCTCTCTTACTGACTGACTGATTGACTGTCTTTCTGTTTGTCTGTCTGTCTCTGTGTCTGTGTCTGTCTCTATGTCTATCTCTGTCTCTGTTTCAATTCTGATTTCTCTCTCTCTCTCTCTCTCTCTCTCTCTCTCTCTCTCTCTCTCTCTCTCTCTCTCTTCTCTCTCTCTCTCTCTCTCTCTCCTCTCTCTCTCTCTTCTCTTCTCTCTCTCCCTCCCCCTCTCCCTTCCCTCCCTCTCCCTCCCCCTCCTCCTCCCCCTCTCCCTCCCCTCTCCCTCCCCTCTCCCTCTCCCTCTCCCTCTCCCTCCCCTCTCTCTCCTCCCCTCCTTCTCTCCTTCTCCTTCTTCCTCCCCCTTTTCCCTCCTCTCCCTATCTCTTCCCCCTTCTCCCCTTCACTCTCCCCCTCCTCCTCTCCCTCCCCTTTCCCTCTCTCTCTCTCTCTCTCCCCCCTCTCCCTCCCCCTTTCCATCCCTCTCCCCCTCACTCTCCCCTTCCTCCTCTCCCTCCCTCTCCTCCCCCTCTCCCCCCCTCCTCCTCTCCCTCCCCTCTCCTCCCTCCCTCTCCTCCCTCTCCCTCTCTTTCACTCTCTCCACATAAATTAAAAACCTTACGTGACTCTGCATCCCGGCTGATCACACAATACCAGCTTGTGTAGCGAGTCATCCCGGCTTTGTCTGTGAATGAAAAAAAGTTGTAAAATCAGCTGGGAATTTGTTCAGTATTACGTCACTGAATGAACAGTACGACTGATTTCATTTTTATCTTACTCTGAAGATAAAGTGGTCAGTCTATAATGTGTTCCTTTTACATAATTTATCTGTCTCACTATCTATCCATCCATTCATCCATTTATCCATTTATCCACATATCCTTCCATCTATCTATCTATCTACCCCCCTATCCATCCTTCCATCCATCTACCTATCTGTGTATCTGTCCATATTTCTATCTTTCTATCGATCTATCCATCCATCCATCCATCCATCCTTCCATCTATCTATCTATCCATCTACCTATCTGTCTATCTGTCCATATTTCTATCTAGCGATCCACCCATTCATCCATCCATCCATCCTTCTATCTATCTATCTATCTATCTATCTATCTATCTATCTATCTATCTATCTATCTATCTATCTATCTATCTATCTATCTATCCATCCATCCATCCACCCATCCAACCTTCCACCCATCTATCTATCTGTCCGTATTCCTATCAATCTGTCTGTCCATTCACCCACCCATCCATCCATCTACCTATTCATCTATCCACATTTCTATCTCTCCATCCATGCCTCCATCTCCCTAACACACACACACACGCGTATGTACATAGGCCTACCTACACGAACCCTACAAAGCTGAACTCCTGAACAACCATCTAAATAATAAACTTACGGCTTAGCTTTGTCATTTTGAGTGACAGGAATGGTTGTCTCTTGTCCCTCTCTGAACGGGGCATTCCCATAATAGTTGTAGTTGTAGTAGTAGTAGTCCTGGTAGTCTGTATAGTAGTCGGAGTAGAGGTACTGTGTGGTGGGGTAGTCTGTCGTAGTGGCAGGTTCCGCCGCTGCTCTTTTGGAACGGTCTGGGAAAGTAATTGTGATGTAATGGAGGAAGGAGGTCGTTCCTGGAGTCTATATATGTTGTCATGAACCGTATTCATGTTGGGAAAAGGTAAAGGAAAAAAGGTAATGAACAAGAAGGAATATCTTATGAAACGGTTTCGAATATTTATCTTCGTCAGATATAAATGTATTTCTGACGAAGACTTATTCGAAATCGGTCAAATGCATTTTTTATATTCTGAAGATATTCATTTTTATTCACATTTTTTCTGCATGGTGTTGTTCGTAATTTGTGCCTGAAGGGGCCACATGAAATTAGTATTATTTTTTTCTTATTGTAAGTTAGTATGGTAACAAAGAGTGTACTCACTAACAAAAACAACAACAGTAGAAACAATAACAACAATAATAATCATAATCATGATGATGATGATGATAATGATAATAATAATGATAATAATAATAATAATAATAATAATAATGATAATAATGATAATAATAATAATAATAATAATGATAATGATATAATAAAGATCACATCACATTCACCACCACGCATACGAACGCACCTTGGCCGCCACCCTCCTGCAGGTCGACAAAAGCCGTTTCTTCTCCCTCCGCCAGCGACGAGTAGGAGACGGGGGGGAGGTAGTTCCCATGGCCGGGGGGCTGGTGGAGAGAGAGAGATGGGGGGGGGGGGTTATTTAGGATGGGTGGAGGGGTTGGGTGGAAGTGGGTGGGTTGGGTGGAGGGGTGGGTGGGTGGGTTGGGTGGAGGGGTGGGTGGGTGGGTTGGGTGGAGGGGTGGGTTGGGTGGGTTGGGTGGGTGGGTGGGGGGTGGGTAGGTGGATGGGGGGTGGGTGGGTTGGGTTGGGTGGAGGGGGTGGGGTGGGTTGGGTTGGGTGGAGGGGTGGGTGGGGTTTGGTGGAGGGTTGGGTGGGTGGGTTGGGTGGAGGGGTGGTGGTTGGGTTTGGGTGGTGGGGGTGGAGTGGGGTGGGGTGGAGGGGTGGAGGTGGGGGGTGGGTGGGTTGGGGGGTGGGGTGGGTTGGGTGGGGGGGGGTGGGTGGGTTGGGTGGGTGGAGGGGTGGGTGGGGTGGGGGTGGGTGGGTGGGTGGGTGGATGGTGGATGGATGATGGATGGGTGGATAGACAGACAGATAGATAGATGGATGATGGAGAGAGAGAGAGAGAGATGGGTAAATAGATACATGGATAGATAGATAGATACATGGATAGGTAGATAGATAAATAGATAGGTAGATAGATAGAGAGATAGACAGAGACAAGATATATAGATAGATAAATTAAATAAACATAGATAGATAGACATAAACAGAAGAAGACAGATAGATAGACAGATAAACAACAGACAGACAGATAGATAAGATAAACAGACATACTACTGATAAAATGCCAGATACATATATCACATACCATTCCATACCCTTCAACTCACAGGTAATCCGAAGGAGAACCACGGACCGTACCTCAAGCGAAAGTGGATTAATCGGAAGGTTGAAGCACGTGACAGGCCCGGAGGTCACAAGAGGTCGATAGAGGTAGCTGACCTGTCTTCCACTGGCGAAGAGAGGCAGCAGGAGTTCCAGCTGTAAGACCCAAGGGGGCGAGTTAGATCTTGAGGTTGTTTCGAGAATGTGAGTTTTTGGGGGGGTGTCTGTCGGGTTGTCTGTGTGTGTGTGTGTGTGTGTGTGTGTGTGTGTGTGTGTGTGTGTGTGTGTGTGTGTGTGTGTGTGTGTGTGTGTCTGTCTTGTCTTTTTCTTGTCTGTCTGTGTCAATTCGTCTGTTTAGTAATCTATATTTTTTTTCAGTTTGTGAGATGCAAGAAAGCATTTTTTCCATCTTATGTATCCATGCATGCAATGAATGTATATATAAATATATATATTTTTTTTTTTATTCATATTTACATCTCTCTCTCTCTCTCTCTCTCTCTCTCTCTCTCTCTCTCTTCTCTCTCTCTCTCTCTCTCTCTCTCTCTATATAATATATATAGTATATATACATATATATACATATATTATATATACATATATGTATATATTATATATATACATATATATATATATATATTACATATATATATTTATATATATATATACATATATATATATATATATAATATATATATATACAACCACACATATAGATAACACATTAACCACACCATATAGATACACATTCACACACCTACACCTTCCCCCTCATACCCACCCTCCCAACCCCCATCCCCCCACCCCTCCCAACCCCCACCCAACCCACCCTCCCCCCCCACACCCCCCTCCCACCCCCCCACCCCCCCCCCCCCCCAACCACCCCTATACCTTCCTTCACGGGCGTCGGAACCTCGGTTTTCCAGGAAGAACTCGTGCTGGCATCTGGGGTCCAAGCCGGTCGACGGGCACGGGGACGTCCTCGGACAGCGCCTCCTCGATTTCTCTCATGGTGGAGGACTGGTTGACCTTCACAGAGATGGCGTCTGTCTGTGAGGTGCTGCGGTGAGGAAGGAGGGGAAGGAGGGGAGGAGGGGAGGGAGGGGGGGAGGGGGGAGAGAGAAAAAGAGTTGGATTTTTCTGTTTTGTTCTTCGTATTGGTGGAATGGAGTCTCATTCTCTCGTTCTCTCTCTTTCTCTTTTTTTTTCCCTTTCCCTACTTAATACACACGTATATATAATAATGAATATAATAATAATAATATAATACAATAATAATATTATTAATATAAATAATAATAATTTTAATATAATAATAATAATGAATAATTAATGATGATAATAATAATGAACAATAATAATAACAAAATAAAAAATACTAGTAATAATGATAAATAAAAATAAATGAATAAAAAGCTAAAACAAAATATATAGAATAAAAAATATATACACATATAAACAAAGCGGCCCTACCCCTCTTTACCTTCCAGTATAGAGCACGGACTCAAAGAACCGTAGGAATAGGAATCCTGAAGCCGCTGTTCCCGTTGCTGCTGTCGAACCCGTCGCTCGTGGCTGTCAGATTCACGCTCAGAGTGGAGTGTTCGAGCAAGTTCATCAGGGCTTCGGGGTCGTGTGTGAAAACTAGGGTGAAGTTTACCTTTGTGGGGGCGAGAGAGGGAGAGAGAGAGAGAGGAGGGGTGAGTGAAAGGTGTGAGTGTGGTGAGGAAGGGGGGAAGGAGAGAGGGAGGAGGGAGGAGAGAGGGAGGGAGAGGAGAGAGAGAGAGAGAGAGAGAAGAGAGAGAGAGAGAGAGAGAGAGAGAGAGAGAGAGAGAGAGGAGAGAGAGAGAGAGAGAGAGAGACAGAGAGAGGGAAAGAGAGACAAGAGACAGAGGTAGAGAAACAGAGGAGAGAGAAAACGAACAGACAGAAAAGACTACCAAAAAAAAACAAAAAAAATAAACAAAAAAATAACAAACAAACATAAAAAAAACAATCTCAACCCAAAAAAACCAAACCCCCGCCCCAAAAACCAAAAAAAAAACCACCTCATCGTCCATATCAATATACCGGAACGTGCACAGCAGCGACGTCGGATTCACGACTCCGACAAGGTTCTGGTAGCGGCAGTCGGGAGGTCGTAACCCGAGTGCCTTGGCCGAGAGGTACTTCAGCGGCGCCGGGTGTTGTATCCGGATCTCCACTGCGTTGGCCGACTGGTTCCTCACCTTCAGTTGGATGCCGATGTCCACTTTGTCTTCGCCCACGATGAGGGTTTGGCTGGGAGGAGAGTTTGGGAAAGATGATGAAAAAAATGAAGGGGAGAGAGAGAAAGAGTGGGAATTGAGAGAAGAAAATGAAGAAAGATTGTTAAAGAGAAAAAGTGAAAAAGAAACAGATAAAAATGACGAAAAATTGTTAAAGAGAAAAGGTGAAAAAGAAACAGATAAAAATGATGAAAAATTGTTAAAGAGAGAGTTAAAGAGAAAAAAATGAAAAAGAAACAGATAAAAATGATGAAAAATTGTTAAATAGAAAGTTAAAGAGGAAAAATTAAAAAGAAAAAAAAATATGAAAAAAATTTTTAAAGAGAAAAAAATTAAAAAGAGACAGAAAAAATGATGAAAAATTGTTAAACACAGTTAAAGAGAAAAAGAATTAAGAAAAATTATTAGAGAAAGTTAAAGGGAAAGAAATGAAAAAGAAACAAAAAAAGAAAAATTGTTAAAGAGAAAAAATGAAAAAGAAACCAAAAAAAATCATGAAAAATTGTTAAAGAGAAAAAAATGGAAAATAAGAGAGAAAAAATGTGGAGAAAAAAAATAAGAAATCAACTTAAGAAGTTTGTCTTTGATACAGAAGTTGAGACAATTATTGTAATAGTGATGATAATGACAATGATAAATGCTAACAATTACAGTGGTGATAATTAGTAATAGAAATAATAATAGATGGTAAGAGACCATTCCTTGCACATAGGGGTGAGTTTAGAACTACAATAAACAGCCGTAATTTCATAAGTTCACACTCCTTTTTCATTATAACCATCATTATCATTATCATTATTGGTGTTTTGTCATTATCATGGTTACTCTCAATATCATCATTATTAATATTATAGCTATTATTATCATCACTATTGTTATCATTATCATCACTTTCATAATTAATATCATTGTCATCGTTGTCATTAGTATCATCATTA